TAGATTGCTCAGTTTTGGTCACTGACGTCTTCCATTGTGCCGAGAAATATGATTGATAATGAGGTCTTACCCTACTCCATAAGGAATTATGAAGATCCTTATGCTGATTGCATCACTTGAGGTAAGTGAAAATATACTTGTGGTGGTGCTCAGTATTCGTTATGAAGATGTTGTAAGATCTCATCCATCGCCAACCTTGTGCAGACCACCTGCTAAAACTGTGTTGATGTCAGAGGTTTCAAACTGAGCAAAGCAAAGCCCCCCAATGGAAATGCTGATAAGAAATCAAACTTTCCTGTCCCGTCCTTACATAGTTACATAGTATTTGAGGTTGAATAAAGACATTAGTCCATCAAGTCCAACCTATAGGATCCCATTCTTAGGAGTACTTGTACCCCTGTATATTACGGTCCCTTAGGAAATCGTCCAAAAGTTTCTTATGTCCTTGTGTTCCTAAGTTGCTAAAAACCTGAAGCACCCCTGAAAACTCATCTCAAGCTGAAAGGTGGTTCCACTGCCTTCCCCCTTGTATCTCTTCTCTCCCTCACCTCTCTTTCTTCTTCCTTCTACTCTTTTCCCCATGCACCTACTTCCAGTTCCACTTCATCTTAGGCTTGTGTCTGCAGGTAACTATAACCAAGATGGTCAGAAGGTCCAACCTCTGAATGATTATTTAGATGATCAAGATAGAAACATTCATTGTAATGGCTGATCTTACCTGCCTGTGCAACAAGCAGACACTCCTGGTGTTGGCTTTATCTTGGAGAAATAATGGCCAGTAAAGCTCTATCTTCCCCCAAGAACGATCGCCCATAGGGTTTCTGAACTCCACTAGGAGATATTGTGATTCCTGCCAGTAAGCGTCATATCTAAGAGTACCTGAAGAACGATATGCAGCAAAGAGATGTGTCATTTCATATAACAGACTCCCTATGAGCTGTGTAGCTTTTAATGATTGGCAGGAAGTTCTAGAACATTTCTTATCCGTCACCAGATACCAGGCAGCACACTGGGAATTGTCTACCATCGCTGTTCTTCTCTATATGTTAGTCAGCCCTGCCAATTGCTTAGGACTGTCAGAGGTAGCAACAGTAGATGTAGTGCTTTCATTAAGATGCCTGGGACCAGTAGACAAAGATGAAAGCCTAGAAACACCACTGCTTTTCCTTTCCTTCCTTCTTGGAGGGAGTGACAGATATGGAAAAGAAATGAGGAGCATGGCTGAGATACAGCTTAAAACAGAGACTATATTTTACCTTTTTCTCATCTGTATCCTCATATTATTCACTAGGGAGAACATTTTCCCCAATATATATTATTTGACACATTGGCACAAAAATGGCCAGCCCACCTGAATTAGACATATTATGGAGTGGACAATGCAGAACCCAAAAAACCACTATCTGCTCTCTTTGGAACTCAAGTGGCGGGAACAGAATGTTGACAATGCCTCATCCTTGCCCAAAAGTTTCTCTCCTCCTGCTGCAGTCCTGTTAATGGAGCTTGAACAAAAATCCAACGTGTGCACTGTTATCACCTTATGAAATGTCCACAGCACTGTTATCACCTTATGAAATGTCCACAGCACCACAGCACTGTTATCACCTTATGAAATGTCCACAGCACCACAGCACTGTTATCACCGTATGAGTCCACAGCAGGTGCAAGGTGCTGAAAATCTATTGAAATAGCTTAAACAAAGCTGAAATGTAAGCGCTTTTAAGGTTTCTGTCTACTGGTTTAGAACACTAAATTAAAAGATAGCATCACCGTTTGCAAATGGGCCAAACCAATGAGATCCATTGTATTTATACTCTGCTAAATGATAATTCATTAAGATTAGTCCACATTACAAATCAAAGAATCTTGTGATCTGCTTGAACTTTCCATCTAATATGTCGGGTTCCTATGTTCCTTATATCCGCCACCTGCTGAATCCCACAGAAGACCACAGCAATGATATAAGTGGAAGCTTCATATGTAAAAATCTGATTTCAGGTATGGCTTCTGACACACTAAAGATACTATTCCCAGCAGCAACTCACCAGAATCCCTAGAGAAGGCAATGGCATTGCTGGTGGAAAGACTGTAATATCTCCCACAATAGAAAGAAAGCCATGCCTGGCTGGTCCGGCCAGCGAGGGAGTAACACTGAAGGAACTGGTTAGTTGTTTTGTTGCCCTCTTAAATGATTACTGGCATGCTACCGGGAGTTACAGGAACACTAGTGTGTCATAGGCCTAACAGTAGCCTCCCAAAAGGTATTAAGATGCTATGATGGTAAATGTGTATAGTCAATCGGGGGGTAAAGTGAATTTACTCACAATTGGACCAATATTCTCTTCCCAAGTCTAGAGTACTGGCCAAGTGGCAATCCCACACCCAATACTCTTATGTCACGTCTCTGGTCATTAAGACTTTCATATTAACATCAAGGGTGAGAGAAGACGGAAGCCAAGAAGTCATCTGAGGTCAGGTGGCCCTGCCATGACTGCTCTTGGTCCTATGAGGTTAAGGGGCCATAGTATGACTGCTACTGGAACCCTCAGGTTAGGGGCCCAGCCATGACATCTCCTAAATCCCTCAGGTCAATGGGATGTAGCATTTATGCTACTGGACCACTGAGATCAGGGGGCCCTGCTATGATTGCTACTGGATCTCTAAGGTCAGGTGGCCCTGCCATGACTGTGCCTGAGCCTATGAAGTCAGGGGACCTCACTGACCCTCAGATGACATAATATGCCTGCTCCTGGGCAACTGATGTCAGTGGACCTTACCATGACTGCTCCTGGGCCAATAAGGTCAAGGTTCCTGCTCTGAGTGTTAATGGATCTCTTAGGTCAGGAACCCAGCCATGGCTGCTACTGGTCCTCTAAGGTCCCCTGGCATGCCTACTCCTGGACCTCTGAGGTCAGGGTGGCCCTACCATGACTGCTCTTGGCTCTATGGTCAGGTGGCCCTGCCTGCTCCTGTGCCTCTGAGGTAAGTGAGCCTGCTCAGACTGTTGCAGCACCTCTGAGGTCAGGGCCCCGCCCCGATTGCTCCTGAGCCCCTGAGTTCAAGGGGCTACAGGCTATACTCCATTATTCTTCATGTGCAGCCATCCCTGACAATGCGCAATGACTGCATTAGCAAAAATTGCACATGTATGGTCAGCCTAAAGCTGTGCGTTTACTTTTTTTTTAACATGACATGCATGGCAAATGTATAATTTTTTTTTTTTTTTTTTTGAAGCCCGTGGACGTGCATCTCAACAAACTTCCCCCTGTGAACAAAAAAAGTGAACCGTGAAATCACAGCACACAAAAACGTGCACAAGGGTGCAAGGTCCTTCCGAAGAAGGGACCCATTTCCCGACCCCCCGGGGCGCAAGGCTCCTGACAGGGGTTGAGACTGGTGGTCCACCAACCCGAAGGCCGGTGGACCCATTTCCTATGGGGACCTGCCGAAACAGGTCCCCCTCAGTACTTGGCAGGTGGGATCTCCCGAAGAGAAACCCACCTCCTGGGTGGGAGGAGGCAGAGAACCCCGTAAGAGGCACAGAACCTCCTCCCAGCATCAGGAATAGGCCCCGAAGGAACCTGCACCTTCCGCAATCTGTGGGTCAAATTTAAAAATAAAAAAGTGCCAAACGTGCATAGAGTGCAATAAATAAATCTAAAGTGCCAGTGCACCACGCTGACAGGCCTTAGGGGCCGGAGTGCAAAAATATTGCCCCGGACTAGCCATAAGGCCTGTCCAAGAGGCGTTGTGCAGAAAATTGCAATGTGGAGTGTGACCAAGTGATCAAGTGAGTCAAGTGGGGTCCCACACCCATGTGACTACCTGAGCACCCCTGGGACGCCACCCCCAGGGGGCACAACTCCACGGGCTTCTGCCGCCCCCCGAACCCTCGGGCCAGACCCCGTGGTTCTCCGCTCACATCAGGAGGTAGTGCCGTCGGGGGTCCTCCCACTGTCTAGGGTCTACCCGTACATCAGGGCCTGACGCAACTAGCAGTGGACCGAACCGTCCTCCGACACCCACCATTACGTCAGAGGGTACTAGAATGTTCTCCCATCGGGTGGCAACATCCTCTCCCCTCCAACAACTGATAAGAACAGATACTACACTTGATCTTAGCCAAAAGGCCGAGAAGCGATGGCAAATGTATAATTTACAAAGCTGCTGAGCATGGATCTATCATTGCACAAAATGGCACAGTACACTTTAATACAAATTAGGATGAAAGCCCTTTTTTCAGCATATGGTGATGACTGCACTCCCTCATGTACACTAAATGAATATTTCAGGGACAAACCTAACACCCAGCAAACACCCTCATTATATTCCTTCACTGAACACATGAGAAATGGATAGAACTTCATTTTTTTTTTTTTTTTACACCGCTTCTATAAACAGTCCACGTCCTCCCATTAGTTATACCTAGTCCCCCTGTTTCCTAGCAACGCAGATAGCTGACGTCACCTCGTCTTCCAGCTCTTCGCGATAGTTCCCGCCCACTCTTTCGAGGACCCAATCGGTGAAAGCTAATCTGCATGTGGCCGAGAGATTGAGACCCCGCATCGTTCTTTAACATATGTTAACAATAAACGTTTATCTATAAACTGACCACTTTTTTTTCGAGGGTCTTTTGAATTAGTGCCATGCAATTTATCACATAAAATATATTTTAGCAGTAGGGAGAATTCGAGTCGCCATGACCTGCAAGGGTGGCATCCAAAGAAGTTCTCTTGACCGGAAACATTGCGCACTTCGTATTATAGCTCTTTTTCTATTTGTCTAGAAGGTTCCTGTTAATCAGGAGCCGCCTCTGCTAAGTGAATAATAGATCATGAATTTCAATATGCTGCTTCAAGGCTGATGACTAGCGGAATGATTTGACGGTGCGCACGCCGCGCACACCAATTCTGCTTTTGTTGTGTGGGGGCGGAAGTTTATACTTCCATGTACTAGCATACTCCGGCCACTAGAGGGCGCTGTGTGCTGTGTCACTCCCGGCACGGCAGCCATAGAGAGGTGCTCTTGTGTAGTGTGTACATTAAATCCTCGCCTTATGTATGGGGAATCGCAGGACACAGAGGCTAGACGGGTAATACAGAGAGGAGGAGGGGGCAGCGCCATGTCCAGCCTGCAGAGGCCAGCTCCTCCTGCCCAGACAGTCACCCTCAGCCTAGATCAAGTGAAAGGTGAGTGACCCCCCATGGATAGTACTTTTCTCTCTCCTCTTGCAGAAGCCTTGGGGGAAGTGCTGGATGCTCTGCAGTCCCCCACGGGCAGCGCGCGGCTGGAGGAGGCCAGAGAGAACTCCGGCAATGACTTAGGAAAAGTTCTGCAGCTTCTGCTCCCGGCCGCCGTCCAGATCCAGCAAGAGGTGCTCCAGAATTACGGCTTCAGCCCAGACGGGGAAGGTGAGCGACCGCCAGGTGACAGGGGGGAGGAGCCATGGGGGCTACCAACCTACACATGGTGACCCTTCGTGCTTTTCAGGCAGAAGTTCTGAACTGTAAAGTGAACCTGAGCCGGGCAAAGCGACGGGTTTACTTTAAAGCAGAACTCTGGACATTTAGGCCCCGCCCCCGAGGAACCATAAAAGTAGAACCCTATACAAACCTTTTCCTTGCTGTCTTCCAGCCGGTCCGGTGATATCACGGCAGCCTCTTCTTGCTCTGGTGGTATTGGAGGGGGCGGGGCATTGTTTCAGAACTGAGCCGCGTTCTTGTAATGACTCATGAGCGCCGCTCAGCCTGCGTGAGGACACACCTCCTCAGGGGAGGGGAATAGAAGTCAGGCTGGGCTCATAGGAAATGGAAAGAATGACAGACTCATCCTGTCCTGAAGGGGACCACCAGCGCTGGATGGAGGAGGAAGCAGCATGGAGAGGGGCATTATTAATTGTTATATATATAGAGAGAGAGATTTTCCATAACTTCCTGTTGTGTCTCAGGGACAGGAAGTGAAGGGAAATCTCCCCAATGAAACACAGACAGCAAGGCATATGACATATTTGCTTTCATTCTTAATCAGCACTGAGGTAAGACACTTTTGTTTTCTCTCGGTTTCTCCTCTCCCAGGTGTCCTCCGATTCGCCCGCCTGGTAAAATCGTTCGAGTCGCAGGACCCCGAGATCGCAGCAATGTCCAACAAGCTGAAATCTTTCTTCTTGCCCCCCTTACCCCTCCCCCCACATGCCGGGCTCCCCATGCCCACCTCCTAAAACATTCCTCCCTGCCGGCGGACATCCTTATCCTCCCCTTCTCTCATCACACGCAGGACTGTGTGTTCGGGAAACGCCTGTTACATTCGCGCTGGACTGCGCTAATAAACGTCTCGTCATTTTCTAGTCATCGCTGGTGGAGTTTATTCGTGATGTCATGGTGGGCAGGACAGAGCAGGAGTCTCCTGGCCTGTCTGTCAAGGGATGATGTCATGGTGGGCAGGACAGAGCAGGAGTCTCCTGGCCTGTCTGTCAAGGGATGATGTCATGGTGGGCAGGACAGAGCAGGAGTCTCCTGGCCTGTCTGTCAAGGGATGATGTCATGGTGGGCAGGACAGAGCAGGAGTCTCCTGGCCTGTCTGTCAAGGGATGATGTCATGGTGGGCAGGACAGAGCAGGAGTCTCCTGGCCTGTCTGTCAAGGGATGATGTCATGGTGGGCAGGACAGAGCAGGAGTCTCCTGGCCTGTCTGTCAAGGGATGATGTCATGGTGGGCAGGACAGAGCAGGAGTCTCCTGGCCTGTCTGTCAAGGGATGATGTCATGGTGGGCAGGACAGAGCAGGAGTCTCCTGGCCTGTCTGTCAAGGGATGATGTCATGGTGGGCAGGACAGAGCAGGAGTCTCCTGGCCTGTCTGTCAAGGGATGATGTCATGGTGGGCAGGACAGAGCAGGAGTCTCCTGGCCTGTCTGTCAAGGGATGATGTCATGGTGGGCAGGACAGAGCAGGAGTCTCCTGGCCTGTCTGTCAAGGGATGATGTCATGGTGGGCAGGACAGAGCAGGAGTCTCCTGGCCTGTCTGTCAAGGGATGATGTCATGGTGGGCAGGACAGAGCAGGAGTCTCCTGGCCTGTCTGTCAAGGGATGATGTCATGGTGGGCAGGACAGAGCAGGAGTCTCCTGGCCTGTCTGTCAAGGGATGATGTCATGGTGGGCAGGACAGAGCAGGAGTCTCCTGGCCTGTCTGTCAAGGGATGATGTCATGGTGGGCAGGACAGAGCAGGAGTCTCCTGGCCTGTCTGTCAAGGGATGATGTCATGGTGGGCAGGACAGAGCAGGAGTCTCCTGGCCTGTCTGTCAAGGGATGATGTCATGGTGGGCAGGACAGAGCAGGAGTCTCCTGGCCTGTCTGTCAAGGGATGATGTCATGGTGGGCAGGACAGAGCAGGAGTCTCCTGGCCTGTCTGTCAAGGGATGATGTCATGGTGGGCAGGACAGAGCAGGAGTCTCCTGGCCTGTCTGTCAAGGGATGATGTCATGGTGGGCAGGACAGAGCAGGAGTCTCCTGGCCTGTCTGTCAAGGGATGATGTCATGGTGGGCAGGACAGAGCAGGAGTCTCCTGGCCTGTCTGTCAAGGGATGATGTCATGGTGGGCAGGACAGAGCAGGAGTCTCCTGGCCTGTCTGTCAAGGGATGATGTCATGGTGGGCAGGACAGAGCAGGAGTCTCCTGGCCTGTCTGTCAAGGGATGATGTCATGGTGGGCAGGACAGAGCAGGAGTCTCCTGGCCTGTCTGTCAAGGGATGATGTCATGGTGGGCAGGACAGAGCAGGAGTCTCCTGGCCTGTCTGTCAAGGGATGATGTCATGGTGGGCAGGACAGAGCAGGAGTCTCCTGGCCTGTCTGTCAAGGGATGATGTCATGGTGGGCAGGACAGAGCAGGAGTCTCCTGGCCTGTCTGTCAAGGGATGATGTCATGGTGGGCAGGACAGAGCAGGAGTCTCCTGGCCTGTCTGTCAAGGGATGATGTCATGGTGGGCAGGACAGAGCAGGAGTCTCCTGGCCTGTCTGTCAAGGGATGATGTCATGGTGGGCAGGACAGAGCAGGAGTCTCCTGGCCTGTCTGTCAAGGGATGATGTCATGGTGGGCAGGACAGAGCAGGAGTCTCCTGGCCTGTCTGTCAAGGGATGATGTCATGGTGGGCAGGACAGAGCAGGAGTCTCCTGGCCTGTCTGTCAAGGGATGATGTCATGGTGGGCAGGACAGAGCAGGAGTCTCCTGGCCTGTCTGTCAAGGGATGATGTCATGGTGGGCAGGACAGAGCAGGAGTCTCCTGGCCTGTCTGTCAAGGGATGATGTCATGGTGGGCAGGACAGAGCAGGAGTCTCCTGGCCTGTCTGTCAAGGGATGATGTCATGGTGGGCAGGACAGAGCAGGAGTCTCCTGGCCTGTCTGTCAAGGGATGATGTCATGGTGGGCAGGACAGAGCAGGAGTCTCCTGGCCTGTCTGTCAAGGGATGATGTCATGGTGGGCAGGACAGAGCAGGAGTCTCCTGGCCTGTCTGTCAAGGGATGATGTCATGGTGGGCAGGACAGAGCAGGAGTCTCCTGGCCTGTCTGTCAAGGGATGATGTCATGGTGGGCAGGACAGAGCAGGAGTCTCCTGGCCTGTCTGTCAAGGGATGATGTCATGGTGGGCAGGACAGAGCAGGAGTCTCCTGGCCTGTCTGTCAAGGGATGATGTCATGGTGGGCAGGACAGAGCAGGAGTCTCCTGGCCTGTCTGTCAAGGGATGATGTCATGGTGGGCAGGACAGAGCAGGAGTCTCCTGGCCTGTCTGTCAAGGGATGATGTCATGGTGGGCAGGACAGAGCAGGAGTCTCCTGGCCTGTCTGTCAAGGGATGATGTCATGGTGGGCAGGACAGAGCAGGAGTCTCCTGGCCTGTCTGTCAAGGGATGATGTCATGGTGGGCAGGACAGAGCAGGAGTCTCCTGGCCTGTCTGTCAAGGGATGATGTCATGGTGGGCAGGACAGAGCAGGAGTCTCCTGGCCTGTCTGTCAAGGGATGATGTCATGGTGGGCAGGACAGAGCAGGAGTCTCCTGGCCTGTCTGTCAAGGGATGATGTCATGGTGGGCAGGACAGAGCAGGAGTCTCCTGGCCTGTCTGTCAAGGGATGATGTCATGGTGGGCAGGACAGAGCAGGAGTCTCCTGGCCTGTCTGTCAAGGGATGATGTCATGGTGGGCAGGACAGAGCAGGAGTCTCCTGGCCTGTCTGTCAAGGGATGATGTCATGGTGGGCAGGACAGAGCAGGAGTCTCCTGGCCTGTCTGTCAAGGGATGATGTCATGGTGGGCAGGACAGAGCAGGAGTCTCCTGGCCTGTCTGTCAAGGGATGATGTCATGGTGGGCAGGACAGAGCAGGAGTCTCCTGGCCTGTCTGTCAAGGGATGATGTCATGGTGGGCAGGACAGAGCAGGAGTCTCCTGGCCTGTCTGTCAAGGGATGATGTCATGGTGGGCAGGACAGAGCAGGAGTCTCCTGGCCTGTCTGTCAAGGGATGATGTCATGGTGGGCAGGACAGAGCAGGAGTCTCCTGGCCTGTCTGTCAAGGGATGATGTCATGGTGGGCAGGACAGAGCAGGAGTCTCCTGGCCTGTCTGTCAAGGGATGATGTCATGGTGGGCAGGACAGAGCAGGAGTCTCCTGGCCTGTCTGTCAAGGGATGATGTCATGGTGGGCAGGACAGAGCAGGAGTCTCCTGGCCTGTCTGTCAAGGGATGATGTCATGGTGGGCAGGACAGAGCAGGAGTCTCCTGGCCTGTCTGTCAAGGGATGATGTCATGGTGGGCAGGACAGAGCAGGAGTCTCCTGGCCTGTCTGTCAAGGGATGATGTCATGGTGGGCAGGACAGAGCAGGAGTCTCCTGGCCTGTCTGTCAAGGGATGATGTCATGGTGGGCAGGACAGAGCAGGAGTCTCCTGGCCTGTCTGTCAAGGGATGATGTCATGGTGGGCAGGACAGAGCAGGAGTCTCCTGGCCTGTCTGTCAAGGGATGATGTCATGGTGGGCAGGACAGAGCAGGAGTCTCCTGGCCTGTCTGTCAAGGGATGATGTCATGGTGGGCAGGACAGAGCAGGAGTCTCCTGGCCTGTCTGTCAAGGGATGATGTCATGGTGGGCAGGACAGAGCAGGAGTCTCCTGGCCTGTCTGTCAAGGGATGATGTCATGGTGGGCAGGACAGAGCAGGAGTCTCCTGGCCTGTCTGTCAAGGTATGATGTCATGGTGGACAAAACAGAACGGGGGTCTCCTGCCCTGTGAGCCCGCTACCTACCCCTGCTTTAAAGTTTACTCGGAATGGTATGGGGGGGAAAGAAACATTCAATGAACGTCAGTCCTGCACAGAGCGGCTACAGCGGTGGTCGGCAGCCTCAGCACCACTGCTCTTGTGAAGCTACAATTCCCAACATGCCTCTTGCCCTGGGAGCCATGCAGGTGGCTTGCAAATGTTTCATGGGGCTTGTAGTTCCACAACAGCTAAAGTGCAGAGGTTGACGGGCCTAATGTAACTTTGATAACACGGTGGGCAGAGAACCAAACACATGGAACCTTGAGGGCGATGGACAACAACAGAAGAAGACCACGTCGGCCTTCACTTATGTCAGCCAAGAACAGGAAGTTGAGGCTGCAGTGGACACGAGCTCACCAAAACCGCCGGACAGATTAGAAAAAATGTATCCTGGTCTGATGGATCCCCATTTCTGTACACTGACGGTTGTGTCAGATTGTGTTGTCAATGCCTTGAATACATGGACTTCCACCCTGCCTTGTGTCCAGACTGGGGGGGGTAAGTGTGCGAGGAACGTCCCATGTGCATCCCTCTATGGCCACAGTTTAGTCCTTAAAATAAAATGAAGAAATATTCTACAAATATTGCTCGGGTATCTTTTCACATAAAATTAACCAACTGGTGGGCGGAGACTGTTTACACTCCATTTAAAGCGGGCCCTAACCCCCCCCCCCCCCCCCCCCCCCGCAAAAAAAAAAAA